ACCCCGCTTAGATTAATTTAATAATAATAAAAAAAAAAAAATTTGTATTATATACATCTCATGGAGCACTGTTCAATCCATCATCCGAAAATGGAAAGAGTATGGCGCAACTGCAAACCTACCAAGACATGGGCGTCCACCTACACTGACAGGCCGGGCAAGGAAAGCATTAATCAGCCAAGAGCCCCCATGGTAACTGAAGACGCTGCAGAGATCCACAGCTCAGGTGGGATAATCTGTCCACAGAACAACTACTGGTCCTGCACTCCACAATCTGGCCTTTATGGAAGAGTGCCAAGAAAAAAAGCCATTGTTGAAAAAAAGCCATAAGAAGTCCTGTTTGCAGTTTGCGAAAAGCCATGTGGGGGACACAGCAAACATGTGGAAGAAGGTGCTCTGGTCAGATGAGATCAAAACTGAACTTTTTGGCCTAAAAGCAAAATGCTATGTGTGGCGGAAAACTAGCACTGCACATCACCCTGAACACACCATCCCCACCGTGAAACATGGTGGTGGCAGCATGTGGGGATTCTTTTCTTCAGCAGGGACGGAAAAGCTGGTCAGAGTTGATGGGAAGACGGATGAAGCCAAATACAGGGCAATCTTGGAAGAAAACCTGATAGACACTGCAAAAGACTTGCGACTGGGGCAGAGGTTCACCTTCCAGCAGCACAACGACCCAAAACATACAGACAGAGCTACAATGGAATGTTTTAGATCAAAGCATATTCATGTGTTAGAATAGTCCAGTCAAAGTCCAGACTTAAATCCAATTCAGAATCTGTGGCAAGTCTTGAAAATTGCTGTTCACAATTGCTCTCCATCCAATCAGACAGAGCTTGAGCTATTTTGCAAAAAAGAATTGGCAAAAATGTCACTCTAGATGTGCAAAGCTGGTAGAGACATCCCCAAAAAGACTTGCAGCTGTTAATTGCAGCGAAAGATGGCTCTACAAAGTATTAACTCAGGAGGACTGAATACAAATGTACGCCACACTTTTCACAGATTTGTAAAAAATGTTGAACACCATTTCTCATTTTCCTTCCACTTCACAATTAAGTGCCACTTTGTGTTGGTCTATCACAGTGGTTCTTAACCTTGTTGGAGGTACTGAACCCCACCAGTTTCATATGCGCATTCACCGAACCCTTCTTAATTGGAAAAATAAAATATGATTTTTAAAATTCAAAACATAGGTATATATTTATACATAGGTGCACAAAATGAACAAAACCGTTAAGAACAAAGAACAAAACCATTAAAACATGATTTTCACACAAAAACATAATAATGAATATTTACTGCACGAATCATATAAGTCGGGTGTGGGTCTTCACCTCTGCCGAACCCGCGAGTCTGACTCACTGAACCCCTGGGGTTCGATCGAACCCAGGTTTAAGAACCACTGTTTTATAGTAATTCATCCCCCATAGTAATTCATCCCCCCTATAGTAATTCATCCCCCCTATAGTAATTCATCCCCCCTATAGTAATTCATCCCCCATATAGTAATTCATCCCCCATATAGTAATTCATCCCCCCTATAGTAATTCATCCCCCCTATAGTAATTCATCCCCCCTATAGTAATTCATCCCCCCTATAGTAATTCATCCCCCCTATAGTAATTCATCCCCCCTAGAGTAATTCATCCCTTATATAGTAATTCATCCCTTATATAGTAATTCATCCCCCATATAGTAATTCATCCCCCATATAGTAATTCATCCCCCATATAGTAATTCATCCCTTATATAGTAATTCATCCCCCATATAGTAATTCATCCCCCATATAGTAATTCATCCCCCATATAGTAATTCATCCCCCATATAGTAATTCATCCCCCCATATTAATTCATCCCTCATATAGTAGTAGTAAGTAGCAAGTAGTAAGCCAAGTCCCCCCTGTGTCAATTCACTTACCTTTGCTCCGCGCGTTCCTCTCGCCGTATTCCCGCGCCGTTCCGGTCTTCAGGGCGGACTGTGAGAGGAGCCTAGCTCCTCTCACGTTTGTCACGCTGCCCCGACTACACACATCCTGACAGCCAATCACTGGCTATCAGGATGTGAGTGGCAGCGAGACTGGCCAATCAGTGCATTTGAGCGCGCTGCCCTGGCTGTTTTTTTTTTTGGATCACGCTGCAGAGTCCCTGCCGCCCGAGAGGAGGGAGGGGAGCGGGGCGCCCGGCACACAAGAGCCGCATTAAAGCGTGTAAAGAGCCGCATGTGGCTCGCGAGCCGCGGCTTGCCGACCACTGGGCTAAGCGATGTTGCGTGACCACCTGCAGCCAATGATGGACAAGCGGGGCATGTCATCACGAATCATATGAGTCGGGTGTGGGTCTTCACCTCCGCCGAACCAGCGAGACTGACTCACCGAACCCCTGGGGTTCGATCGAACCCAGGTTAAGAACCACTGGTCTATCACATAAAATCCCAATAAAATAAATTTACGGTTTTGGCTATAACATGACAAAATGTGGAACATTTCAAGGGGTATGAATACTTTTTCAAGGCACTGTATTTGCTTTTTGGGGTAATCTACAGTTCATCTATAGCTTTCTCCCTTACTTTAAAGGGCCTAGGTAAAAATATTATCTTGGGGTGTTTTAGGGATCTTCTTCTGTATCCTGTAACCCTTAGATCAGGGCATCTCAACCAGGGTTCCATGAAACCCTAGGGTTCCTCCAGAGATTGCTAGGGGTTTCTTGACCAGTAAGCAAATTCTGCCTCTCAAAATAGTCCCCACTAACACCATTGATCTTTTATTAGACATTTGTAAGGGGGCAATTCTTCCCAATAACCACAAGTGTTAAAGGAACATTCTTCTCACTGACCATCACACTATTGTATCATGAGTTGTAGATAGTTATTTCTAGCAGGGGTTCCCTAAGACAGGAATGTTATTTAAACGGTTCCTCTGTGTTAAAGGGGTTGAGAAAGGCTGCCTTAGATAGTATGTAGACAGGGTCTGGAAATAGTAAGTAAATGCAAGAACCAAGGTAATTCAGAATTGGACCTGTGAAGAAGGTTAGAGAGTGGAAATGCAGTCCATATTCATCAACAATTGTCAGCCCACTTTTTAAGGTAGGGCCAGGGTCATCAAGATATGTGTATTTGTATATCACCTGCGTTTAATCTGATCCTCTCCTCATACTCCCAAATATGAAGGCCCCTAATGACGGGGCCTGCCTAGACTCTTGTTGCCCCTCTGTCTTGTTCCTTGGCACAGGAAAATAGTAATGTAAAGTGTAGTAAAATGTTGAAAAGTAGACCGAAAGAAAACAAAAAAAAATTTTAAAAAATAAAATGAAGCTAAATCTGGAAGAGAAAAGAAAAAATACACAAAACCTATTCCAGCGTCTCACCTTACACAAAAGACTAACCCTGAATAACAGTGGCTTAAGTTACAGCCCAGAACCAGAAAAATGTGTTTCTAACAAATTCCACTGGGCTATTGCCATGTTGCACAATACATTTAAAAACCATGTAAAGAAATGGCCTAAAGCAGCTATAAAAAATAAGCAAAACTGTTGGAAATTACATTTCTATGAAAAATGGCATAGAGGAAATGTCGACCTTTCCACATAGACCCCTGTGAACTAAACAGAGCAGCACAAATCGAATTCCCTCCGCTGTGTTTCAGTCAGAGCCAGAGGAAGAATATCAAGCTTTCTTCTGGCTTTTAGAACTGACTGGCACAAATCAGATTTAGCCTCATTTATTAAAGTTTCTGAGGAAAGCGCTGTCTCCTATTTTGACCCTTAGCAACCAGATGTCTCCCAACATTTAAAATAAACACAACAATTGAAGAGTGTTTGGGATTATCCAGGAAGAATGAAAATAGCCTACAAATTATAGAAAACTATACTTGCTAAAGGAAAAACTGCCAAGGTAGAAATATATGAGCTACATTCTAGAAACACTAGTTTCCTGGCCATAAGATGATTATCTGGCTTCAATATTTACCCAGAACAAGTATAAGGGCAAGGAATTCTGACGTTTTGTCAATAATACTTTTCCGCAGCTACAAACATTTTACTCTAGTAATGGCAGCCCCATATTGCCCTCAGGTATACACTAAAAGGGTATATTCATATTTTTGTATTTAACAATGCAGTGGCACCAAACCCACATGCTGTGTCTGGCGTCACTGGGTCATGTGAATTTAAGGATTTGTTGTGCCACATGTTAAAACAGCCTATTCATAATAAGTAGACTGCCTTTATGATGACATGCAAAAATGTAAATGGGCCCTAAATACAGTGCAACTAAGGAGCAACTTTATGGCAAAAGAATGTGGTAATGGGATAGGCCAGAACAAAACATCTATTAATATCGCAATAAAACACCACGTTTTTGCATTTTTTTAGTGTTGTTTACACTTAATGTTACCACTTTAAGTTGGCATCCTCTTAGCACAATTTTTTTGTTTCATAAGAGTGTAAAAATTATGCTTAAACGTCAATTTGCAGCAAACCTCCCCCCTGTTTTGGAAGTAGGGAAGGGTTAGATTTGTAATGCCTTCTATATCCCTAGTGTAGAGATATTTTCTCCCTCCCAGTTTCCAGTGATCACTGTGGCTGCTACAAGAAATTGAGGGAAAACTCTTGAACTGAATCACACACAGAAACACAAATCTGATAGAGGATTTAACCCATCCCCACAATACCAAAATGAAATCTGTGTTTAGAGACAAGGGGAAGCTGTAACTGCCACTCTCCAGGGGTACAGGCAGCAGTAACAATTTGACATAGGTTCAAACTCTTCTTTACAACATTAAAAAAATAAAACATGGTAATTACCTGGGGCGCTATATCTCCTCATATTTCGAGCCATGAGATCTGATGAGGTTTCTTGTGAAATCTTCACATCCAGATCTGAAAGAGAAAATACAGCAGACCAGAAGAGATAGCAAAGAAAAAGGTAGAGGAAAAAAGAAACAAAAATGAGTCTAATTCTGTATCTTCTACATAAAACAAGTACCCCACCAATTTCCCTTTAAAGATGCGCACCATCCTGACTAGTAAGTCCAGATTCTTGCATGCTTTCATTGCCACTGTCAGGTGCTTTGCCTCCGCTGCGGCTGGTATGCTGTTGTCCACCACCCTTTTCCCCATTGCGGGTGGAGGTTCCACGTTGTCGGACCTTGCGAGTACTGATGCGGATGATTCCTCTTACGAGCCTACACTCAGCATCTTGCTCTTCTAGTTGGTAGTCCTGTGTTAGACTGCTGATTAACTCTGTGATTTTACTGCTTTTCTCCAGGAAGACTGTATCGGATGTACACCTTGCCAGTTCATCAATCTGATGGAGACTAAACAACTCAGTTAGTTTATGCCAGATGAGCACATCAATCTCCGCATTGGAAAGGGAGCCGCTCAGCCTGGACAGCTCTGGATCAGACTCTCGCAATGAGTAGTAATCCCCAGAAGAACTATGGAGCGTTGGTGGTGGCAGTGGGGCAGGTGGCTCCTTTACAGTTTCTATATCTGTGACACCAGGCTGTCTGTTATACACAGGTACCCCCATCAGTTTAAGATCTGGGTAACTAAAACTGTTACCAAGGTTTGTTTTCCTTTCACCCAAACGGGTAACACGAGGGCTATTTGCAGGGTGCCCATCACCGGCGGACAGTCTGTACCCTCTACCGAACAAGGAAGATACACCTCGGGGTCCTTTTGTGGGCAACAACTGCAGGACACCACATAACAGAGCACAGCTTTGTATGCTGACCAGGCACGGGAGAGCGGGGGGCAACATGGTTGCTCTTCTGGTGGTGTTTCAGCAGACCCTGAAATGAAAGTGATGTCTTCTGGTGGACTCCTGCGTCTGGGACTTGGAACACTTGAGATCTGTGGTGGGGAGCTGTGACGCTGAGCAGGAAGATGGGCTGGGGGGGAACCCCGGGTACGAGGAATAGCCATTGGCTGGAGCTGGGGTTGCGGCATTTCTTCACGAATAAGTCCTGGAAATAAAGGTCAGAAACATAGTCAGGTTTTTACAATTGGAAGCATTCGGTTTTTCATAATTCATACCCATTATACAGTAAAGGTTATGTTTATTATCTATGGAGCCATCTCATCATTTTAAAGTGCAAGCATTTTATTGGTTTTCCACAGCAAAGTTAGGGCTGTGTCCCTGCTAGAAAGACTCACTGTTTTTACCTTTCCTTGTGGACATCTAAAATGTTTCAGCTGCCAGCAGAGTAAGATGTTCTGGTGACAACTCTCTAATGTTGCATTCTTGAGCTACTGGATTCATGGTAAACACAATATCTGCAGCTCTGAGTTACAAGTCAGAACTGTGTAAGATGCGAGTTTGGAAGGCATTTACGGCCAATTTACAAGTTGAAACCTCATTTCGCCTCCTCAATAGCACATGGATGCAGTATAAGGAACCCCTTATGTTGCATCTTCAGGACAGGAAGTGAACTAAACTCTCTCCAATGAGTAGGGTTGCCACATTTTCTAGTACAAAAATACCTGCCATATTTTCTTACTACTAATGAGGAACTTCAGCTGGATCTCCAAACAGTAAAAGTCAGCAGCTAAAAGTACTGTAGCTGCTGACTTTTACAAAATAGGTACTTACCAGCCGATGATGTCCAGCGCTGTCTTTGTACAATCCAAAATCTTCAGCACTGTCTTAGATCCCGCACCACCATCTTTGATTCGGTAACCAGCTATGATGCTGGCCTTACTCTAGTAGATTTTTGTATAAACTTTTGTAAGGAAGGAAACTGATGGGGTGAGCTGATGGGTAGAGATAGATTAGGGTGTCATTTGCATAGAAATGGTGTTGGATGCTATCACTTGACCAAGGGAGGAATTGTAGATCGAGAATAAGAGAGGTCCAAGGACAAAACCTTGGGGGACTCTGACAGTAAAATGAAAAGGAGAAGAGGAAGTAGAGTTGTAAGTGACAAGAAGGTGCGGTGAGATAGGCAAGATGACAACCAACAGAGAGTACAGTCACAGAGACCAAGGAAATAGTTTTTTTTGTTTTTTTAAAGAAGGATGGAGTGGTCATTTGTATCAAAGACACCAGCGAGGTCTAAGAGTAAGGCATCGTGCACACCAGTGTGCAGAGACGTCAGTTTTTCTGCACGCGTTCTGCAAGAGCACAATAAAATCAATTGTTTTCTATGTGCCCTGTTCACACCACAATACTAGTATCATGTGCAGATTTTTTTTTTCCTGCACAGGAATCTGCAATGTGTATTTAAACTCATTTAAATGCGCATGTAAACTGAGGTCTCTGCAAGTAAAATCTACATGTCAATTTCCATCAGTTTTTCAGCAAGTATGGTGTGAACGATCCCTAAGAGTACAGAATAGTGACTGTTGATTTTAGCTGTTAGTATGTTGTTTGCGAGTTTTAGTAACAAACTTTCCCAAACGAAAATCACACTGTTAGAAATCCACATGAGAAGAGTTTTCCATTCCTTCAAATTTCCTGTTCATGTGCGAGAGGCACGGGTTGGAGGAGACTATCCCAAAGCCTCCTGGGATATATGATGTACCCCAAGAGCCTGCAGACAGCCTCAGCAGATGCCATCCTTGCATAGGTGCAGAATAAGGAAGTGGAAGCAAGTACCTTATTGAAAAGGCATTTGATACCTTCGAAAAAATACTTTCCAAATGTATTAAAAGGGCATAGTTCACCTTTACCAAAGAACTGCCTATGCAAATAAGGGACTTCTCTAGATAAAAACAAACTGGGCATCTCTGACCACAATGGAATAATGTATTTGCAGTAGCTGTAGGTCATTTACATAGCTCATGAAGCCTGACTGGGAAAATTCCCAGGATATTGCAAAGAGAGGCCCAGCTGTTCAATTCTACCATCACAAGAGTGAGCTCTTTCTCCGATTCAAACCCTTTTAAAGTGTTACTAAACCCACAACAGTAAACTCAGTCTGTATATGCAGTAAAGCATGGTTGTTATACTCACTGAGGAACCTAAGGGGTTAATCCTCCACCTTGTGTAAAAAGTCTGTATGATCCTGTCTTCTCTGATCCTCCCCTTCTTCTATTGTCCCCAATCCATCTGCTGGGGGCAAGCTACAAATGCTCAGTTTGGTGTGTATTGCTAGAGTTTTTAGATTAGTGTGCATTGCTAGGTTTTTTTTAATTCACTGTGAAACATAAGGGGTTAATCCTCCACATTGTGTAAAAAGGCTTTTTGATCTTCCCTTCTCTGATCCTCCTCTTCTTCTACTGTCCCCAATCCTTCTACTGGAGGCAAGCCACAAATGTTCAATTTAGTGTATATTGCTAGAGAGTTTTTTTTTCTTTCCTAGGAGAGTGCATTTGATCAGCTCAGGGCCAATCAGCACTGTCCAGACAGAGAGTCAGGGGTCCTGCAGACTCATAGGACAATCAGGGGAGAATGAAAACTCCTCCTGCCAGTTTTAATCAATGCTCTGCCGGACACTGATAGAGAAGTCACAAGACTCCTATATACGGCTGATGAGAAAAGGTATTTAGAAGTTTATATTTGCTAAAATAATTGCAGTTCTGTGTTCTGTGGAAGACCAGATATAGTGAATGCAGAGTCCTGGGTTTAGTAACACTTCAAATACTCTCTCACCTGATGCGCTAGTTCTGAGCTCAACATTTGATGGTAGAGGTGAGCAGTAGTGAATATTCCAGTCAGGCGTTGGAAGGTACAGAAATGGCCTTCACCTATAGCAAATTGTTCAACTTAAATCCGATCTGCACAGTTTGTTTTTATCTATGAATGCCACGCATCTTCCTAGGCAGTTTATTTGGTAAAGATGAACCACCCTTTAAAAGGAATGGGGAGGGCCTGGCATAAGCAATCCACAATTGGGAGGGAAGCTCGGCTTGAATATAACTGAAAATAACTTCCATTTTTACCAGTCAGGTGGCATTCCTAGCAATGGAACTCAGCCAACATTGACTAAAACAAGGGGATATCCCTACCCCGCTCTAGCCAGATGAACTGAAAATAAAAAGTTTGGGCTACTTGACCCACAACTGTTGGCTTGCATTGAATAAAAGCAGTCAGTGTCATTTCTTAGATTGTAAGCTCCCAGGATCAGGCCCTCCTAACCCTCTTGTATTGAACTGTATTGTCTCCCTTTATATTGTAAAGTGCAGAGCAAACTGTTGGTGCTATATACATCCTGTATTATAACAACTGTCCATGATGTGGATATTCACAGCCCTTGTGCCTGTCCAGAACTTCTGATAAATACTAATAGAGCTCTAGCCCCATCCCAGAACAGTCTCCTAGTTCGTCCAAGCCATCTATACCCAGCTCAGTCTTCCCCGGTGACACCGCCCCCTACCCCCCAGCAACAGAACAGGCACATATCCCGTGTAGCTCCAGACACCCACCTCGGTGGCTCCTCACCATTCCCCTGTTGTTGTGGCTAAGCTCTCCTGGCCGTCTCCCCCCCTCCGGCGAGCTCCTGCTCCCACCCGCTCTCTCTCCAGACTTCCACATCGCGCCGTCTCCAAACTCACATTGAGGAGCCTCACAAAGAGCCCGAGAGTCTCCGGGGGGTCGGTTCCGGTATTTTCCGGGTTTCTCGCGAGCTTCAATTTCCGTTTCCGGCCACCACCGCCTCTACCTGTCCACCAGGTGTGTGTGTATGCCGCGACCACGCCCCCACCTGCGTGTCTGCGTCACCGCTTCGCTTTAGCTAGCCAGGCCCTTTCTCTGTCACACTGGAGACTGAAGAGGCGACCTAAGGACAAAACCTAGGCGCCAAGCACCTGAGGCAACTGAATTTATTCTCCCTTTAACTTGTATCCTCCGTCTTATAAGTAGGGTTGCCACCTCATCCCCCTAAAACCGAACATACATGAAGTACACAGGTTCTGAGGCTGATTTAATGCACTAAGTGATTCTAATTATCACTTTAAATCAGGCACAGAACCTGTGTAATTCATTTGTGTTCGGTTTTAAAGGGATGAGGTGGCAACCCTACTTATAAATGTATTATGTTTGTATTTTGTAGTCTACTATTCTCATATATAGCACGTTAGCGACAACAGAGAAGATAAAGCAGTCTCGCGGCCCCTTCTACAAACCTACTGGACAGGTGTATTCGCTAGGAATAGTTTTGGTCTCCAGAAAAATGGTCGCCGCACAACACCTGTACTGGCGCTAGAGCCGTTCTTGTTTTGGCCTCTAGCGCTTAGCCGGTTAACTGCCCCCTCAATCTTCGAGCGGTGGTGACGTCAAGTCGCTGCTAGAGATCTGCAGAACGGCGAATGGTGAATGAAGCAGATCTACGGCTGGGGTGATCTGTACGTTGGATGGTATGTATTCAGGAGAAAGGGACTGGTGCAGCATTTATCAATCTGCATGTGAGGAGAAGCCTTGCTACACCGAGTCTCCGCACTGAGCTTCTTATCGCCAGGGGAGAGCAGTCTGCATCTGACGTTTAGGACAGATGTGAAGTCATGCCTGGAGGAACATCAGCATATGACCTACTAATGCCTTGTGTATGCTCACCATGTCCATGAGTGGCATGTTCGGTATGTCTGATGTTCTCGGTTAAAGATTACATCACCAGGAACAAGAGCTTGCACATTGCAGGAAAGCTCCTTTAACCAAGGACTCTGTGTTGTGTGTCGTTTCCAGTCTTGCCATCGCTTCTACGTTTCTTTGCTACCATGCCTATAGTGCAGGGCAGTGCCTTGTGGAATCTCCAGAGGGTCTTCAACCATCCAAGGTCTTCGAAAGAGACTGAGACCAAAGATGCCAAATCCGTGCCTTCCTCCCATGGGTCTTCTTTTTGGAAGTCCGCTAATGCTTCTAGCCTTTTTCTTAGGTTTTCGTCGACCCCTTGCCAGTCTCCAAAACGGTCAGCCTCTGCTCCACAAGGGCTGCCTCATAAGTCAGCTCCGAGTCCTTGCAGCAGCTCATCCCCGGCAGAAGCAGTGTCAGCCAATGAATCCAGCATTAGTAA